GGCAGCTGCCACCAACCACTGGCAGGTCACGTGACCTGTCAGTGGCGGCTCCTGCCAGCCAGTTGAAGATTGAACCCCTACTGCAATTTTGTCTTAATGATGAATTTGTTTATTATAAACATGCAGCTTTTCTTTCACAAGATGTTAATTGATGGACTGGATTATTGTGATGTTTTTATCAACTGTTTGGAGTGGACTCTCATTCTGATGGCACTCATTCACTGCAGAGGATCCACTGGTTAGCAAGTAATGCTAAATTATTCCAAATCTGTTCTGATCAAGAAACAAACTCATCTACTTCTTGGATGGCCTGAGGACAAGTACATTATCAGCAATTTTTCACTTTTTGGATCAACTACTCCTTTAATGAAGACAGTTGCCCTGCCTATACTTACACATAAGGGTACTGAAGGCCACCACTCCCAGCAGGCCCTGCAGGAAGATGCCAAACGAGTCCATGAAGTCCCCGTTGGAGCAGCCCTGGGCATCAGGATCAGTGGGAGAGGAGTTGGAGGATGCAGACGGCAGCTGACCTCGCGACAGCACACTGACCCCAACACCCGCCATTGCGCAACACTTAAAGGTATTTCAATATCTCGAGTATTTAGAAAAGCCACAAAATATCAGTCTCGAGCAGTGGGAATGATCGACAGGACGGCGACACAGCTATGGTACATAATGAAGGCTCTCCTATGAGCCTCCAGTCACGGTTACTGAAGCGCAGACTTGTCGTGTTTCAGACTGGACCTCGATGCAGCCATCCAGTTGTGAGTTACCTAATATCTGTCAGCAGGTTGTGCTGTATAAACATCTCCTTCAGCATCGAGGAAACATGGTCCAGACTGAGATGTGTAACGGCAGTTGGCGGCTGACGCTGTCGATACTACAACACCATACAGTCTATGTACAACACACACGCTGTCATGGAGACATTTATCGGTTATATTATTATAGAGCGCGTGCGGTTAGCCGCTAGAATTCAAAAACTGTGGTGGTTAAATTAAAGCAGTTAAACTTTTACAGTTAAATGAGGTCAAAAAGTATGGCGTTTAAAACTTCACTTCCCTTTATAACTAGTTTAGAAAGGCAAATAATAGGCAGGTAACGTAACGTTAGTTCTGCTGTTTTTTAGCGAGAGTCCGGTCTGGCGCTTCCTGTTTGCAAACCAGCTGAGGAAAAAAAACGGCCACCGCTGCTTTCAGGAGAAGAGTTGATTCTAAATCTGCGCAGATTCAGGAAGGTCTGCGTCCAAACTAGTCACATACGTATCTGGTAAAGACACATATTATCCGTAAAGGCAGGACACTTCCTTTTCCCATGTAGTCAGGTGCCGTTTACACTCACTACGCGACGATCTACTGCGTCATCACTGTCACGTCGTACTAGAGCATGATGGGATATGTAGTTCTAAGGGATCCCTTGTAGCAGCAGGTGCAATTCAAGAAATTCTAATAAATCTTAAGGTGCGTCCCAATTCGTGTACTATTCTGTGCTGTTTTGTAGTATAAATAGTAGAACTAGTGTGTTCAAACTGAAAAGTCCACCCAGATGATGCACTTAAATAACCACAAAAAAAAAAACTGAAGTGTGGATTGTTGGACACTTCATGCACTCAACTGATGCATCTTTAATTATGTAGCGGAGGAGGAGGGGCTATCAGACTCTAATTATTAATGACAAAATAACCTTATATTATTCATACTCTACACGGTTGAGTATGTAGTGCATAAGTACCTAGTATATACTATGTATGTAGTGCATAAGTGTAGTGTATAAGTGCATAGTGTATAGTGCGTCATTTGGGAGTAGCTTTAGAACTGGCTTACTGAATGGCGAAACTTATGTATTTGCATTGTGAAATGCACTTATTTAACATATTTAATCAACGTTTATTCCCACGATGAATCAAGCTGAATGCCATTGGTCACTTGTGAGCTGGAATCAGAATGGACCAGTTGCTAGAAAAGATTGAATAGAAAATTGCAAACAATAAATTAGCATAATCAAATTTAAACTACTGTTCAAAAGAAATTGCTGTTTTTATTTAGCATGAATGCATTAAATTGATCAAAATCAGTAAATACATCAAATATAATATATATTTCAAACTTTCTGTTAATCAAAGAATGCTGAAAACTAATAACTAAGTAATAAGAAGAAAGGTTTCCTGAGCATCAAATATTATATTAGAATGATTTTCAGTTGACACTGAACACTGAAAGCCAAGTGTGGTGACCCATACTAGGAATTTGTGCTAGGAAGCCTTGTCATCACAGAAATAAATAAAATTGTAAAATATATGAAACAATTATTTTAAATTGTAATATTTCACAATATTAGTTTTACTGTATTTTTAATCAAATAAATGCTGCCTGAGCAGAAGTCTTCTTTCAAAAACACTTAAAATCTTTAAAATCAATAGCATACACATGAGAACATATAATCAGAATGCAAAAACAACTACCTAATTATTAATATCTATGGTCTACAAATATATATTTTAAATACAAAGAAAAAAAATTAAAAGTACATAAACCCAAATAGATCTATTTTTCAAAGTCATCACTGCCCCAACCCCTTTCTTTAAATTAACCCCCTGAAGAAAAAAACCAAAAGGCAAGATTCTGTTCATTTTATTTTCTTTTAAATAACATTTTCCACCAATATATAATTAAAAGTAAACCAATATTATTTTATCAACCTTTAATCAAACTGATGAAAACCTGGAAATGAATAAAACAGAATGTGGCAATACGCGGTTTCAAATGCATCTTTCACCATTCCAGCACAAAATGCTTAAAGAAGAAGTATCAAGGGAAATGGACTGTTAAATCAAGAAAAGGGAGACTGATGCATATCTCATTATCAATTCAAATACAATCAATAGATAACATAACAAATGATGCTATCTGGTTGAGTGGGGGCATAGCTTTGAAATGCAAGACCAAACTAGTTATTTAGACCATTACAACATAGAGGCTCCTGAAATTATTTAATGCAGTATATGCATCTGAACACAGATGCTGCATTCTACTTAATATTAAAAATATTATGTTTGTAAGAGTACAAGACTCTTCAGTTTGGTGTTGTTGATAAACCCTGGATTTGCCACTATGAATATTATCCCTATAACAGTAAGTGACATAACCTGAAATCTTTGTGTGCTTATGTCTTAACCGTAACACCTCATCATTTTTTGTTATTACTCTGCACTTTTATTTAATAATGCATCGTTAGAATGAGCAAATGATTATTAGTATTTACAGAAAACTCATCTTTTGCACTGTTGTGTTACAAAATTCCCCAGCTTTTATAGAAAACCGAAAAGAAATGGGAGCATTAAAGCAGTCCCACTAAAATTAACATCTGGTTATTTACAGTATTTACATTCACACTCCTGTATGTACATGTTTGCATACCACTTACAGTACATGGGCAATTATTTTTTTGTGCTTAAGGTAATTGCATTGTCATCCGCTCTACAGTTAATAAAGGTTTCAGAAACAAGAACTTTGCTTATTGTTGCAGACATGAATGGACTAGTTCCTCTGACTCAGGTCTAACTGTACCCTGAGCTGAACTAATCTTTAAAAAAAGACCACAAACTTAACAGTAGTCCAGGCTTAATTAGAGATGGAGAGCCCAGCCGTACAAGTACCAGATTTACCCTGTTGAAAAACACCCCTCCAGTAGTATCTCTATTGTACAGGAGGCGTCTAAAGCGCTAAGTGATTTTAAAGGTTATATGATCCATAGAGCAAAAGGAAGATTTCAAACATTAGGAAAGTCTCCCAAAATGTCAAATGCCCTACTCCTCTCTACAGAATGTCACCCTCAGCTGGCAAACTGTTGGTAAAATGCTAGCTTGACCTGCTCGATGTGATGGCACAGCTTGATGGCAGGGCCGAGCTTCAGGTCCATACACTCCTGGACAGTGGGAAGGTTCAACAGAAGCAGCGCTTGACCGTCAATTTCCTAGGAAAGGTAAATGAAAAAGAGTTGACAAATATACAGATGTAGGGTCCTAAATCAGCAGTAATAAGCATGTGAGCCAGAAAATGTAGTTTAATCTATGCCAATGTATTTACAATGGGGCCCAAAAGGTTTTGCAATCAAATTACTCAAACCTACAAAGCTCCGCATAAGACATGAGAAAAGAAATTGATATCCTAGCCACAAATGAATAATTCTTAACTTAATTTGCTGCACTAATGTGTTCCCTCACGTTATGTAAACTGTTCCCATGACTTACTAATTTGCTACCTCGTTTTACAAATTAAATCTGTGTATCATTCCTTCATTTGATTTTTGATTTAATATTGAAAAAAGAAAAACTAGAAAACTGTGCCCATTTTGTTTTAAATTTTTTTCTAAATAATCGAAAAACAAAGATTCAGCTTGAAGAAGAAATGGATTTGCAATAAATTCTTTAAGAATTCTTACAACTGAAGCAGCGGAGGACTATTATTCTGCTGCGCAGAACTGAGGAGGAACTGATGACGACACGGTTTGATCTTCGGCTGACCAATCAGCAGAAAGGGGCATTTTATTCCCGCCCACATGTAAAAATCGAATATTCAAGCTGTTTATTTGTTTTTCTACCTCGGAACACAAAAATTAAAAATCAATCAAAACTTTTTTTTTTTTTAAGAAATGAAAAACGAAAAAGGTTCTGTTTTCTCGTTTTCAATATTCAATTTTCAATATTAAATCTAAAATGAAAAGAATGAATGATACACGGATTAAATTAGTACAACGTGACCATGATTTATCTAAAAACGAAGAAACCAACTATTACAACAAGGCCACAATTTACCTAAACAAGGAAACAAATTATTAATTTGTGGCCATGATCATTTTTTCCTACGCTTGTCATGTGCAGGGCTCTAAACAAATCACATTTGCAGATATTTAGAAACTCGTGTGCACATTGCATTTGTAGCATGTGTAGCAGGTTATCCTGATGCATCCCAGACAACAGTGAATAACCTCTCCTTTCAATCAACCATTACACTAAAACAAGGGATTTAAACTTACGTGTTCAATGGTAAAAGAAAATAAAAGCCCAAACAAATACTTCAAGAAACTCAATTTGTCTTACATTTACATTTTTGCGCTGTACTTACAATGTGTTACTGCAGGTGTGTAACTCAGAAAATCTTAAAACTCTTTAAAATCCAATCAAAGGTGCTCACAAGAGACTACTACCGGGCATAAATAGCAATTTCCTGATCACTTGTGACTGGATCATCATGGTAAAATGTTAACGTATTGGAGCTATGGATGTATTGGAGGTGTGTGTTCAATTACTTGAGCCATGAAGATGCGTGCCAGTGGAGCACAATCGGTGGTCCTGATGAAACGCACAACATCTGTGACACTCCATTCCAGTGGACTGCTGTCCAAACACAGCTTCGGAGGAACTTCAGTACGTGGACTCTTCAGAAGAAACAGCCAAACAGTCAGTACTGCATACTTATCAAACACAAAACAGTACAAAACCTAGTTATAAAGAGAGTTATCTCCCTAAGTGTTAAAAGTTTATATTTTGTATACTGTAAGTCAGCAGTTTTCAACTTTTCTGACTTCAAGGCTCCTCAAAAACAATATTCGATGAGCCCCGTGATATTTGTGGTACTTATGATGAAAGCTGCTTTCCATTTTTTTCACAGAAACTATAAGTATCTATTTAAATTCATTCAAATATTAAAATTGTTATATAAATATTTATAATAATAATAATAATTCATTAAAATTATTATAATTAAAATAATTGCATTCCAGAAGCTTCAGTAACTAAATGTTCTTCAGTTTACACTTTTTATTTCCAATGAATTTACATTAATTTTCTAGTCACTCAAGCTTTTTTTGCTCATAATGTATACCTGATAAAACATTTTAAGGCTTGACATTACTAGAAACAAAAAAGATTATTAAAAGGTGTCTTTTTAATATTTTATTAATTTCCATTACCTTTACAGGTCTGGAAATAAATAAATAAAAATCCCTCATTTATGTATGTTTCCCAAGACTGTGGGAATACTGGTCCATTAATAACGATGACAGTGCTGCCCTACAAAGGCAAATGACCTTAACTCGCAGGAGTGTGCAATTGAGAAAAATGACTTCAAAGATTTTTATTTGTTCAGCCAAATTAATTATAGGTAGGACACTGGAAATCTGGCAATTAGATGTTTTAGTAATAAATTATCTACACAAAAAAATCTTGAGCTCAAACTTGATTTTCACCCCTATTTTGAAGTTACTGTACTCTGCCTTTGCATTGTCTGCAAAAAGTGAGATGTCACGCTAAGGCAAAAGGCAGCAACTTCCACATTATCAATATTTGGTTGCTGA